ACACTCCTCCAGACTCCTCCTCGACCTTAGTGCCTTCTTGAATAAAATCTTCCAACACCTGCGCCTTTATGGCCCTCCTCGGCTCATACGATAAAGAGTATTCGCTCAGCTTAACTGCCCACTTTACTAATCGACCAGAGACCGATGGTCGGCCGAGTGTTTCCCCTAATGGCATGTTCGTTCGCACCCTCACTTTATGGTTCAAGAAATAAGGCCTCAATTTTCGAGCAGTTACCACCACAGCTAAAGCACACTTCTCGATCTCCGAGTACCTCATCTCTGCTCCCTGCATCACCCGGCTTATGTAATAAATAGGGAACTGTGCTACTCCTTCTTCTCGCAGCAACACCGAACTCACAGCCCTCTCTCCGATGAAAATATACAGCACTAATTCTTCGCTTTGTACGGGTTTAGGCAACAGGGGAAGGTTAGCCAGCACCCCTCTCAACTCATCAAATGCCTTTTGTGCTTCTTCCGTCCACTGAAATTTCTAGCTCTTTTTCAGTGTTTTGAATAATGGGCTACTTTTCTCCGCCACCTTCGATATAAAACGACTCAGCCCTGCAATTCGACCAGCTAAGATCTGCACTTCCTTAACATTCGTCGGCGGCTTCATCTCCATTACGGCTCGAACCTTCTCAGGATTCACTTCAATACCTCTCTTGGTCACCAAGTAACCCAAGAATTTTCCCGACCTCACCCCGAAAGAGCACTTAGCTGGATTCAATTTCATCCCATACCTCTGCAATGTTGAGAACGTTTCTTTCAAGTCTCGCACATGATCCAACTCCTCCTTGCTCTTCACCAACATATTATCCACATACACCTCTATGTTCCTCCCCAGTTGCTCCTTAAATATTTTATCGACCAACCTTTGATACGTGATGCCTGCATTCTTTAGGCCGAACGGCATGACCACGTAACAATAGGTTCCTCGACTCGTTACAAAACTCACCCGCTTCCTGTCTTCTCTCGCCTAGGGAATTTGATGATATCCCTAGGAGGCATCCATCAGGCTCAGCAGTTCGCACCCGCCGTTGAGTCGACCAGCTGGTCGATTCTGGGCAATGGGTATAAGTCCTTTGGGCATGCTTTGTTCAGATCACAGAAATCAATGCACATCCTCTATTTTCCCTCCGCCTTCGACACCATCACCGTATTCGACAACCATTCGAGGAACTGGATATCCTTGATATGCCCTTCTCCCAATAGCTTCTCGACCTCCTTCTCAATGATTTTGTCCATCTCCGCCCCATGATGCCTTCTTTTCTGCTTCACTGGCCTCACATTGAGGTCGATGTTCAGCCGATGCTCGATCACCTCCGCACTTATCCCCGTCAACTCCTCCGCTGTATAGGCAAAAATGTCAGCGAACTCCCTGACCAGATCGATCAGCCTCGACCGAATATGCTCTTCCAAGTCCTTCCCGATTCTGAATTTCCTCTCCTCACACCCCTCGATCATCTGAATCTCCTCAACTTCTCCCCCTGGCTGGATATCTATTTTCTCCTTACCCTTCTCCATTCTCTATTTATCCTCTTTTGACCTCGACCCACCTGGTCGATTAACCTCCTCCTTCTTCGACTTGGCCTGCCTCTTCGCCAGTTGCTTGTTATTGCTCACCGTTGTTTGATAGCATCTCCTTGAAGTGAGTTGATCCCCGGCAATCTCCCCTACGTTTTCGCCCATAGGATACTTGATCATCATGTGGTACGTGGATACGACCGCCTGGAATGCATTCAAGCTCGTCTGCCTCATAATGATGTTATAAGATGATTCAGCTCCTACGACCACAAACCTCACCTTGCGCACCTTCCTCAGCTCTCCCGCTCCTAACGCCACTGGCAAACTTACCTCACCCATCGGCACCACCTCTACTCCATTGAAGCCATAAAGCGCCGTGGTCACCGGCTTCAGCTCCATATTCAACTCCTTATTAATTTGCACAAAACAGTCATAGAACATCACGTCTACCGAACACCCGGTATCAATAAACACCCTCTTCACGTCAAAGCCTGCAACCTCCGCGGTTATAACCAAAGCATCGTTGTGCGGTAGGACCACTCCCTCGGCATCCTGTGCCTTAAAACTTATCACCGGCATGCGAGCCGTAGTCCCCACCTCCTCTCTTTTCCTCTTCACAGCTCGAGCATGCTCCTTCCTGACCCTATTCGAGTCACCATCCGTTGGCCCTTCAGAAATCATGTAAATCGTCCCTCTCTTCATCGGGGCTTCTCCTCCGTGCCCTCCCTTATCGCCATCTCTCCTCGGCTTCTTTCCTCGACCATCTCGACCATCTCTGTCGCCTCCTTCCTCGTCCCTGTCACTTCTTTCCTCCGAATCCTCCCGACACCTTCTCCTTCCTTTCCCTTTGGCTCTATCCTGATACACAAACTCTTTCAGGTACCCAGCTCGAATCAACCTCTCGATTTCATCCTTCAAATGTCTACAGTTCTCCGTGGTATGACCGTAATCTCGGTGAAAACGGCAGTAAATGTCTGACTTAGGTCGAATTGGGCCCGTAAACCTCGTCTTCGGCCAGGTCACATCCTCGCTCGACATCTTCTGCTCCATAGCCTCGAGCACCTTCGTCAAGTCCTTCCTCGGGGGTGTAAAATTATGATACCTCTGTCTTTCGAACATCAATGGCCTCCTCTACCACTCATCCCTCTTCTCCCGATTCGAATCTTTACCCTCTCTTCTAGGCGATGCCCTTTTCGGCCCACTCCTCTTGGGCGAACTTCTCCTGGGCGATCTCCCCCTTTGTGGGCTTTTTTCTTTCTTCGGCTCTGGTCGAGCCGCTCCTTACAACTTTGCGAACTCTATTTCCATTTCCTCCAAATTAATATACTTCCTGCAACGCTTCAAGACATCCTCGTATGATCGAGCAGGAGTCTGTGCCAGGGAAGTTCGGCAAGGCCCTGCTCGAAGACTTCTTATCAATCCTCCCGCCTTCACCTCATCTGAGGCTGAGTGCACTTCCAAACACGTCTGATTATATCGAGCAACATACTTCCTCAACGACTCCTTCTCTCTCTGTCTCATTGCCATAAAAGTCAAATACGTTTTCTCCTGCGCCACCGCGCTCGAATATTGATTGGTAAGATTGCTGGCAAAATCCTCAAAATCCGCAATCGACCGAGAGGGCAACTGATGAAACCAGTCAAGTGCTCCACCACGCAAGGTCGATAGAAACGCCCTGCAACAAATAGAATCAGAATACCCATGTAACACTGCCATATTTTCAAAGGTCCTCACATGCCTCGACGGGTCAGACGACCCATCATAGACCAAGTTGGTCTCCTTGAAATTATTCGGCAAAGGAGCAGCGACAATCTCCCTCGAGAAGG